AGGTAATACCTGCAGAGGCTTTTTTTGTAGCTAAAAAGGATAAGATGTGTTTTTCAAGCTATGCTTAAACTGAACTAGTACATATGTAAATTGAAATGCATGTATGTGAGGTTTCATCTGGGGAAAAAACCAGTCCTAAACATATTGAAGCGAGGAAATGAATTGTTAGGGGAATGTCAGTAAATATTCAGATATCCTCATAGTTTTTTTAAATAAATGCACATTTGTAATATATCAGATTGCATATTCAAAACACCACTTTAACTCTGTCGCTGTATCCATCCCCAGTCTTATCCTGCAAACCAGAAAACCCCTACAGTCAGTAACTCTACATCAAATAAATTCTGAGTATGAGTTACAACCATCACACAATACAGTTATGTTGGAATATTTCACTATTTAATAACAGACCAAGTGGATATTTTATTTTGGAATCAAAGTGCTGTTATGTGGATTTATGGTTTATAAGGTTGGCAGTGTTTCTGAGTACTTTCTTTTCCAAAGTACATAAATATAAAGTGGTAAAAGTTTTGTTTTTAGCTTATAAATGTAGTTAATCATCTGTTCAAACAATAAAAAATTCTATTTATTAATGGCCAAGAAATGTTAGGGGGTTTTGGTTTTTCTTTTTTACAAGAGACTCATTTAAGTCAACTGGATGAAATGAATAGACAGTGAATATCACAATGGTTTAGAGGGGATTGTGGCACACCAGTTGATCATGTGGAATTTCAGTCATTAATCCATTAAAGTCGTTACTGCCTCAGAGGCTGATTTAAAGGTCACAGTCTTTTTTAAGGATTTCGTTGATGAGGAAAAGAGCCGTTCGTGTTTGATCCATCCAGCGCGTGCACGGATACACACTCAGTCACTAGCGTGCCGAAATACGTTCACCGCTTGGAATTTGCAACAGCGAGCAGTGGGTGGGCAGTAACGTGCGAGAGCTCTTGTGGGCTACACGAGGATTTGTATTGATCGTTCTGTTCTTACATCCTGTTTTTTATCATGGTTAGGCTATATGCAAACATGTCAGGCAATTAGACATGTGAAGACCTGGTTCTGCTTGATTATTTGACTTCCTGCAACTAATAATGAGATTTTTGAAAGATTTAGTGCTCTGCCATTTAATTATAAAAGAGGATCGGAGGCCTATATGTGCGGTGGAGTTAGGTGTGGTAGATTAAATTTGTCCTGGCATCCTTATTGAAGCCTCCCTGTAGGCACTATCAGCTGTAATCAGCACTGTTGCCAGAAATAACACTGCAGCGTCAGAAACATGGGTTTTCTAAGGGTATAGCCGGGGGACGTGCAGTGTTCACTTGTTTGTTTAACTTTAAATTAATGAAGACCCACAAGATTCTTTTTCTTTCCTGACTTGTTGTTGAATTCTGTCATTTAAATTATTTTTATTATTCTTCATAAACACTGCTGGCATCCAAATTACCTATAACGACTTAGGAAAAAGCTAACTTCCATTGTGGTACATTCAAAATACCCACTTACGTGCACAGTAATGGCCTAAAATGAAATAAATTCCCAGCAGGATTCAGAGGAGAGGAAAGAATACTTAAGATGTAACTTAACTATTGTGTTAGTCAGCGTTGTGCCTACACTTTGAATAATCTGTTCTCTTTCAATTGCTAAAATTTCTTTTTCTGTTCTCTTAGTGATAATATGTATTAGAAATTATCAATAAAAAGTTATACATGAGGCACAGGCTATGACATTTGGATACTACAGTAATGATTCCTGCATAATAGCAAGTTTGGATTCTCATAAAGATACAGGATATACAATGATTTTGAAATTCCTGGAAGAGTTCATTTTTTTGGCATTATTTACTACCTCTTTCCAGTAAAACTGTGGCTTTGAGAATAAAGCAAGTTAAAATCAGCACATACTTGTCCTTTGGGGCACTGATTTCTCCTGCACTCGGAGGCTGGCTCGTAGGCCCAGGTGCTGGACACTGTTCAGTGAACAGGTGACCTTGAGAGCAGGCTGGGACAGCGTTACCAGGAAGGAGCAGCAGCATAAATCTAAAAATTAGTAACCCCATGGTAAATACTTTGAAGGGTTGCCTTGGTGAAAGCATCAGTATTGCTTCATGATGTCATTTAGCCATCAATGGTTAGTGTATAGATAATTTAAGGGTATATTTTCTATTACATTTGTTATCTTAAATAAGATAATGTATATTCACTTAAAGAATATACTTCCTGTTATTTCCAAAACCCAGACTGACAGGGACCAGTCCTGCACAGGGGTCAATCCTGCCTGATAGTTCATTGTTCCTGCCATTGTATTGATTAATTCTAAGAAAGACAGGAACCAGTAGGTTTCCTGAATAGTTATAATAATAGTATTAATAATCAGGTTATTAGAAATGAAGTAATTGTAAAACTTGCAAATGCATTTTAATTTATACTGCTTACTTTTGGGGTCTCTCTTCTGAACAAATTCAGTTCACCCGTCGGTTTCAGTGTGGTGTATGGACCCCTGCACGCAGGTTTCTGTGCACATTACTGTGCCGCATTGTCTGTGTTACAAACACTACTCGTAACTTTTCACATCTTTCCTTCAGAACATGGCAATTAGCACTAAAGCCTTAGGTTTAGCTTTAGAAAAAGCTTTTTTCAGTTTAAAGGAATCTTACGGTGTCACTTTCAATCCTCCCGTGAAAGTTAAATTTCTTTCTCTTGCTTCCTTTTATGTTCAAAAACTGAAATAATTTATTACTGTGAAAGAATGTCTACTGAATCCAGTAACCAACAGAGGATGTGGAAAGATTTATTGAGAGAAACATTAAGAGCATTCCTGGCCAGGTGTATTTTTTCTTTTTTGTGAAATGGGGAAAAAAAACCCACACACCTCCAGCCAAGTTCAGGTATGGCTGGAAGCCCATTTGGAAACCAGCGTCTGTGATTGTGAAGTGCTTCTCGAGACAAACCAAACAAAAAGCGACGGGGGGTGCAAAGACGTCGGCACTGCTGAATGTCAGGAAATGTGCTGCTAGATCTTGAAAGGGACTGCAGTGTTTGCCGTCTGAGTGGGTGTAGGCACGTGGCTTCCGCTCTCCTTGTACGTTATACAGCAGTTTGTATCTATGGGAATGGAGGGTGTGGAACCCCTACCCAATTGGATTTGTATCGTCTGAGTTCCTCCTTGCACCCTCGGTCCATGACAAAAGGTACTGGAGGAGCAGGACCTGAGCCCGCTTCTGCGCTCCTTGCTTACCTGACGGAGAGGCGTCGCTCCGTAAACTGCGAGACACAGCTGTAGGGAACATTATTACTCTCGGACAGTTTTTTAGACCACCAGTAAATAATTTTACTGCATATTAGAATATATAACGTGCATTTGTGAGGAATGTAGTCTTTTGGGAGTTTACCAATTGTAACAGCTTACTTATTTGATCAGTTTTAGGATTAAAATCTAGCCACATGCAAATATCATTTTTCCAGGAATGGCAAAAGAATGAGGTATAAATCAGATGTTTCTAATTCTATCCATTTACCTCTCTGGCTTTTGTCCTGTCAGTTACGTGAAGCAAAAAGTGAGTGAGACCAATATAAAATATAATGCTACATATTTTAGAGTGTTCCAGGGATACTTTTCCTCTATCATTTTTTCCATCGACCCCAACTTCTTAGTCTCCAGCCCCGCTCTGTACTAGCTGAACAGGTAGGCCCCCTTAGCAGTAGCCTTAAAAATCAGGTATTAACATTATGGTTTTGTATACATTGTTGAAACCATTTCCTCTTTCTCCATTAATCCAAGTGTCTTAAACCTGTCATCTACAAATTATTCCTTGATGCAGCATCTTAGAAAAGCAGTGGTGAAAAGATAGAGAATTAAACTGCTCCATCTGCCTGCCCCAGGCAGAGAGCCGTACCTGCGTCCTGTTTTACGTGGATGCAGGTCTCATGTTACAGGACCCTGATGATGAAGTTTCCTTGATCTGTCCAATAATCTGTTCCATTGTATACCAGTGCTTCCTGTTAAAACACTTTCCTGACTTCTTATATCCCAGTTTAAGTTCCCTTAAGCCTATCACTTCCAGTTTGATCCATTGTGGATATGGAGAACAGGTCTTGCTTTCTCTTTGTAGCTCCCCGTCTGTATTTGAAACTCTTCTAGATCCCCCCTGGAGTTTTATAGACCTTTCTTTTCCTCTGTTGCTTCAAAGTAATTGTTCCCTCCAATTTCTCTCTCCAGGGGTGTGTCTGTGCCTGGCTACACCTATTGACACATTCCCAGTGCGCAAATGAAAATGTTACTGGTAGCAAGAGGCCAACCTTTTATAGTCAATACAATGAAGAAAACTTGGCAATTAGACAAAGGACTCTTTCAAATGTGAGCTGGAGTGCTCACTTAGAAGCACAGAGTCATCAAGTCTCATTTTATTACTTCTTCCTGTGTTGGCTTCTGTACCTGCCTGTCAAAATCAAACTACTTTTTAAAGTTATTTGATACAAAGATCAGCCTAAACTACTGAAGTCCCAGTGCTTAAATGCCTTTGTGAGTTTAAGGAGTTTGTAGACCACAGATAGGATTCAGTAGGTGCTTCAAGTTATAGGTCTTTAGCTATGCTACTCAATTACATCCTCAATTTTGTTCCAGTGTTTTCAAACCCAAAATTTTGACTACCTTTTAGATTTTAAAAATCAATTAGGAAGCAAGTGACAGCATCAGGCTTCTGTTTTGGTGGTGTCTGGATAGATGGAATTAGTTCTAGCAGTTAAAATGTATTCCTTTTAACAAAATAATTTTGCTTTTTAAATCATCATGGAAATTGGAAAAATGGTATCACTATCAAATTGTATTTCCTTAAAATGTGTTTTAGAAATTCTTCTTCTAATAAGTGCAGATAAATGTTTTTATATTTTTTCAACAATCATATTGTAATTTTGCATACTTGAAAATTGATTTTGGATACTTACTTTTTCCACTTAACATATTGTCTCCCTCTGCTCCTTTTGTTTGTTTTTTCTTTTCCCCAGGACCATTTGCTGCTTCAAGAGACAGTAAATTCTGCTGCTGCTCTTATCATGGCATTAATAAGGGACAGAAACCCGGAGCTGATTGGGCAGCTGTTGGTAGCGTAAGACCATAAGCCATGTGTAGCTTTTGGAAACGGTTTTTTTCATCATGCAGTCACCAAAGGTCTTGAATCATTTTACCCTTTGATAAAAGCACTGGATTTATAACATTTACTATTAAGATCTTTTAACAACATATTTTTGATACTTAAAATGCAAGTTGATATTATATATACAATGTGAAATGAAATACAAATCATTCTGATACACACTGGGTACGTACTGCGAGGAATGGTACTGGAACGTTCTGGGGCGGTACGGATCATTTAAGAAGGTGCACAGAGGACACCAAAGCATTCAGTCTTCATCCAGAACTGTCTTAAATAATGCATGTGTATTGTACTCTAGAACCGCATGAATAAATTTGATTTAAGATAAAATAGTCTTAAATCAGAGCTCTTGTTCTTTGTATGAAATTATTTCCAAATTGCTGCAGCAGCCATGCAGGGCAGCTTTCCCCACCTCGGCAGAAACGCACATTGCAAGAAGCGCTTGGAGGGTCGGGTCCCCATCCTCCATGTAATGAAGGTAACCTTGAAACGAAGAAAAGATGTGCATGGGGGCAACGAGGTGCGAGACCCCAGCTTTCCAGATGTGCTTGCTGCGGCTGTAGCTCTCCTTCGTGCTACACTGCTTCCAGAACCCATGTGCCATCATTTTGCAGGAGCTCCAATAGCTCCCTGAGTGCTGTGTAATATCTACTCTGCATTTGCCTGTCTGTATGTATACACGTGTATGTGCATATGCATCCTTAAAGGAAGAGTTAAGACCCAAAAAAATGTTTCACAACCCAGTCTGCCGGTAACTGAGAAACAGGAAGATTCTGTTAGCTCAGCTACAAGAAGAGAATTTTCACCTCTTGCTGGTTAACTTATCTATGTACTAAATAGTAGTGGAGAGAACTGAGTTTATGAGTTCAGATATATGCTGCGTTGATATTCAGGTGTGGAAAGTTGGGACAGGAAGGGGAAATGGTAAATCATTGTTATCTGGAGTATCTCCGGGTATCGCAACCACTAAGAGCAATGTAAGAGGGCAGTTCCTGAAAACACCTGTGCCTCCCTGTGCATCAGACTCAGGAATTCCAGCTCTCCTGCAGCTTCTGAAGGGACTAGGTCAGTGTCTTGCCTATCTGCCATGACTGGAATAAGGTCTTAGAGAAGAATCCTCACCGGAATTGTCCAGTGAGTCCTCCATTCAGTCTGTGCTGTGTGAGAGCTCTGTTAGTTCAGCAAATGTCCCTCTGAAACCAGCGTGCCTTCCCTTATTCCCACCATGTTCCACTCCCTCTGGTGCTCAGACAAAACTTAGGATGGCATGATCCGCGCTTGGTCCCCTTCCTCTTCCTCTTACACCTGACTGTCTGTATCGCTGTTTTAAATCCCCTTTAGGAGCCAGTGTCGAGCCCAAAGTTCCTTCATGACACGATAAAATAGCTATTAGCTGACTGTTCTGTATCCAAAGCACACGTTTTCTTCCACACAGAAGTCATCCTAAGACAACTAACAAAGTTCTCTTGCATCATCTGCTTTCTTCCTCTACTTTGATTAATAATTTGTCCTTTTCTGACATCGTACAACATAAGCATTCATATTAGCTCTGCGGCTATACAATAGGCATATTTTATTCATATATATATTCATGACTGTTCATATGCAGAGTACGCAAATAAAAGAGGAACTAAAGGATTTATTATTGGTATCCATAATTTACTAGGACAGCTTTCACAAATAAGTTTTCTGAATTCGCTTTTATATTAATGAATTTGATGAAGGAATTCGTCTCCCAGGCTTTTAAAAACATGATGAAAGATGTCTCTTTGGCTGTATTTTGTGTCTCTTCTTTGCTTGAAGACTGAAATACAACCCATGATGTGTTTCCCCACATAATAATAAGCAAAGAAAATCCTTTATGTTGTCCATCCGCTCTGATTTATACACTGTGATGCTGCCTTAGCGTTAGATTGTGTGTAACTTATGATTTGCCTAAGCAGACCCTTTTACTGTGTAGGGTTGCTTTATTTACCTCATTCTCTTAAAAGGATTTCAATCCAATTAAAAATGTTACTGCAATGAACAACTGTAATGAAAAATTGTATTATGGTTGTTTGTAGGCTTACTTTGAAAAAAGAACAGACAATGCACAACAAAATGTTTCAGATCATCGAACATATTTAGTTCTAATCTTAAGTGGAAGATAATAAGCTTTATTAATGTACTGTTAATCATTGCATTATGGATATTTCTTATATTTTAACAATCTTCTAAAATAATCTACAAACACTGAAAAATCGATTTTGCTAGAAGCAAATACACCAACAACAGAACTACTAAAACAGATCACGGAACACTAGAACTGCAGAAAAAAAAAAAAGGAAACTGGACTGTGATTAATGCTATTGTGTATCCAAACCAAATGTAAATGGTCTTTGGGATGATTGTTAATACTTACAATGGAAATAAAGATATAAAATGAAGTTAACAAACTAGTTGATTGGTTTTTGTCTGTGCATAGCTTCTCACAAATAGTAGTATACATGCGAAACTTGGCAGCCTTTCGTATACACATGCTGTTTTGAATTTAACTAGAGGATCAGTCACCACCCATATTGCTTGGAACAGTTGGACAGAGATAACACAGAGTAAATATAAGCTCAGGCACTGCCAGCCTTGCTTACCTTACTCCTCAAGCACTCTAATTAGTATTCCTTGGGTAGTGCTCATCAGAAAAGAGAATACAGACTATGGCCCTAGAAGTGCTTTTCATAACTGCAAAGTTGAGTGAATTAGATCTGTATGTTGAAACTAACCCACTTCATGCAAAATCTGAAAGTTAAATCAGTTCATTTGTCTTAGATCAGTTGGGAGAAAAATTTCTAGTTGAAATCTTCTTTTCTTTAGCTTTTCAGGCTACCTAGATGGTTTGATGGTCCTGTAAGAATGGCCGAAAGAATGAGAAGGATGGTGACATCACAAACAAAACCCAAAGCCAAACCAAAAAGCAGCATCTGACCAAAGTCAGATGTCAGACTACTGTAATCAGTGGCACAATTCTAGTTGACTCGAATATACTGCAACAAAGCTTTTAGCTCATCTTGATAACTAACGTAGGCTGCAGAACAAAAAATGTGTTTGGATGCCTTAAATATTTTAGTGGATGCAGAGTTGTATTTCTGTGTGACACCAGAGCCTCATCATCTCCCCAGTGCCGTTTTAGGTGCCATCCAAGCAGGAGCTTCCTAAAGCATGTAAGGTTCCTGACTACTGTTTGGCACTTCCGATAATACAGCAGCTTCTCCCGTCTGTAGGTCACTCCAGCAGAGAATGGTCGGTTTGTTCTGTTCTGTTCTCTTGGTCTCAGACACTTGCTGCTGGTCACTGGTTTTTGTCCGGGTGTTGTTTCTGAAGAAAAGCACATTTACTTCCAGGTTCACAAAAGCATTTATTATCTCCTATCTCCCTCCTCCTCCTCCATAACTTTGACCTGCAAAATGCTCCCTCATTGTATCAAGCATCCACCAAGATCTGCCAACAACCTGTGTTTCCCTTTTTTTTCCTGCTAAGGAAGGTTTTGGGGTTCAGGAATAGGCTCATGTTAACAGTGATCCTGCAGGATCCGGAATTCTGGGCAAGAGCTACCTTTGAGTTACCCAGTGTAACTGCTCTGATGATTAGAACACATAAATGGCTGGCAGTTGTAAAAACTGTGTTACAGGATGAACCGAGCCCTTCCAACCATTAGTAGTGCCTCAACCTTACGCTTTTTAAGATTTATGATTATTCTCTCTGGTCCATGTAACAGATGCAGTCTTGTTCCTATCTGACTGGAAAAAAGGTATTTAGTTATTAGGTTGATTAATTCAGATGCATGGTTTACTAGATGGTAGATTTTTCTCACTCTGTAGGTAGTGACAGAATGGTATTCAGAGAAACTTCCTCTTGTTTATTTCAAAGATCACTTATTAAAACCACAACTAATTCTCACTGAAACAGGGAGAGCGGCTGAGACTTGTAAAAAGAATAATAACTTTAAGGGCTCCCACTGGGAAAATCTGTTATGAAATATTAAGATATAAATATATATCTTATCTGTATCTTACAGAGATACATGATCGTGATATCAAAATTTCAACAATAACTACATTATTTAAAGCCAATCTTGAAGAGCTGAATTCTGAGAAACGAAGAAACTGTTTTCATTATTCCTGGCCAAATCAGGCAGTTGGTTGACTAGTGCCCCCCCCTCCCCGGCTCTGGATGCCTAGAGTGATATACCAAGGCAGAGTATCAAAAGGGGCTCAAATGTTTGTCCTCCCAATGCCTGCCCTTTCAATGTCAGACTGGTGAGTTTTTATGATGCCTGTCTCCCTCGGCCCACTCCTCAGCCTGCTTGTTGAACACAATGCGGTGCGTCCTGTGCTTCTGGCAAGCACCAGCGGACAGAAGCAGTCACTGACACTACATTTTTCCTAGTGTAAGTTGATTTTGATTGACAGGGCTGTAAAGCACTTGTCGAATATACATTTTCCTTGGTTATTTCTTCCAGGAATACTCAATTAATTCTGAGACCTGAAAAACACAATTGCAGCACCTGTGCTGAGGAAACAGTCCCAACTGTGAAAATATGTTTATGATGATAGAATATACTCAGCTTGCATACACCAACCTGGGGAGCAAAGTGGCATTTCTTAACAGATTTATTCCCAGGTTAAGTGTGCTTTTCAATCTTTAGATTGAAACGGTTCTTGTCCTTCATCCCGCACATATTCCTGTCTCAGAAACTGAAATCATAATTTAGTTAAATGCCACAACACTGAATTATAGCACAGTTACAAAGATAAATGTAAGACTTGGACAAGGGGAAAGCAATGTGAATTTAAATAAGGACGAAAAGCAAGGAGGCAAGAGGTAATATACCAGAGTGTCTCCAGGTGGCAGAATCTACAGGGGCGACCCCTTGAACAGCATGATGCGCTACATGCTGTGGCCAGGAAAGCCTTCCAGGCT